GTATTTGGTCAATATCAAAAGTTCATCTAAATACTTTGTTATATATCCTTTGTTGGCAATGACAGAGGTCAAACGTTTCCTGTAAGTCTTCACAAGGTTGGCACACACTGTTGCTGGTATGTTGGCCCATTCCTCCATGCAGGTCTCCTCTAGAGCAGTGATGTTTGGGGGCTGTCGCTGGGCGACTTTCAACTCCCTCCAAAGGTTTTCTATGGGGTTGAGATCTGGAGACTGGCTAGGCCACTCCAGGACCTTGAAATGCTTCTTACGAAGCCACTCCTTCATTGTGCAGGTGGTATGTTTGGGATCATTGTCATGTTGGAAGACCCAGCCATGTTTCATCTTCAATGCCCTTGCTGATGGAAGGAGGTTTGCACTCAAAATCTCACGATACATGGCCCCATTCATTCTGTCCTGTACATGGATCAGTCGTCCTGGTCTCTTTGTGGAGAAACAGCCCCAAAGCATGATGTTGCCACCCCCATGCTTCACAGTAGGTATGGTGTTCTTTGGATGCAACTCAGCATTCTCTCTCCTCCAAACACGACGAGTTGTGTTTCTACCAAACAGTTCTATTTTGGTTTCATCTGACCATATGACATTCTCCCAATCCTCTTCTGGATCATCCAAATGCTCTCTAGCAAACTTCAGACGGGCCCAGACATTTACTGGCTTAAGCAGGGGGACACGTCTGGCACTGCAGGATCTGAGTCCCTGGTGGCATAGTGTGTTACTGATGGTAGCCTTTGTTATGTTGGTCCCAGCGCTCTGCAGGTCATTCGCTAGGTCCCCCCGTGTGGTCCTGGGATTTTTGCTCACTGTTCTTGTGATCATTTTGACCCCACGGGGTGAGATCTTGCGTGGAGCCCCAGATCGAGGGAGATTATCAGTGGTCTTGTATGTCTTCCATTTTCTAAATATTGCTCCCACAGTTGATTTGTTCACACCAAGCTGCTTGCCTATTGCAGATTCAGTCTTCCCAGCCCGGTGCAGGTCTACCATTTTGTTTCTGGTGTCCTTCAACAGCTCTTTGGTCTTCACCATAGTGAAGTTTGGAGTGTGACTGTTTGAGGTTGTGAACAGGTGTCTTTTATACTGATAAGTTCAAACAGGTGCCATTGATACAGGTAATGAGTGCAGGACAGAGGAGCCTCTTAAAGAAGAAGGTACAGGTCTGTGAGAGCCAGATATCTTGCTTGTTTGTAGGTGACCAAATACTTATTTTCCACCATAATTTGCAAATAAATTCTTTCCAAATCAGCCAATGTGATTGTCTGGATTTTTTTTCTCATTTTGTCTCTCATAGTTGAGGCCTACCTATGATGCCAATTACAGGCCTCTCTCATCTTTTTAAGTGGGAGAGACTTGCACAATTGGTGGCTGACTAAATACTTTTTTGCCCCACTATACATGTTATTTTTTGTACCCATTTTTTTTCCAGGTTTCCCTGATGATTTTCTGCTGAATTTCCAAATGTTCTGGTGTCAAAACTGCTAGATTGTTAGCCATATATACAGTGCATTCAGAAAGTATTCAGACCCCCCCTTCACTTTGTTTTGTTATGCTGCAGCCTGATACTACAGTTGTTTAAATTAATTTTCATTAAATTCATTTTCTCATTAATCTACACTCCGTGCCCCATCATGAGAAAATGAAGACCGAATTTTAAAAATGTCTGTGAATTTGTTAAAAAGAAAAAAAACTGAAATATCACATTGGCATAAGTATTCAGACCCTTGCAACAACATTTGAAATTCAACTTAGGTGCCTCCTTTCTCTCTTGGTCATTGAGGAGATGTTTTTACACCTTGATTGGAGTCCACCTGTGATAAATTAAATTGATTGGACATGATTTGGAAAGTCACACCTCTCTATAAAAGTCCTCACAGCTGACAATAGATACTGTATCAAAACAAAAGCCATGCGGTCAAAGGAACTGCCTTCAGAGCTCAGAGACAGGATTATTGCAAGGCATTGATCTATCCTGCCCTCAGCTAATAATGGAATCTTCTACTGTTCCAACCAATCCATCCCCCGCAGTTACTACCTTTTGTACCACTAGCCCCTCCCTCCTAGATTGTAAGCTCCAAGGAGCAGGGCCCTCAAATCCCTCTTGTACTGTTGCTGTATTATCTCCCTTTATATTGTAAAGCGCTGAGCAAACTGTTGGTGCTATATAAATCCTGTATAATAATAATAATTGATCTGGGAAAGGCTGCAAAAATTGTTTCACCGCACTGAAGGCTCCCAAGAGCCTCCATATTGCTCAAATGGAAGATGTTTGGCACAATCAGGACTTTTACAAGAACTGGTCGCCCAGCTAAACTGAGCAGTCGGGGGAGAAGGACCTTAGTAAGAGTGATGACCTAGAACCTGATGGTCACTCTGACTGAGCTCCAGAGATCCTGTGTGGACATGGGATAAAGTTTCAGAAGGACAACCATCACTGCAGCCCTCCACCGATTTGGGCTTTATGGCAGAATGGCTAGACGAAAGCCTCTTGTGCAAAACACATGAAATCCTTCAGGTGTTTTTTTGCAAACTACAAGTGGGCTTTCACGTGTTTTACTCTAAGGAAAGGCACAACCAGATTACTGAGAAAAAAAGGAATGTAAAGCGATTTAATGGTTAATTTTTTTTTAAATAACAAGCATGTCTGCACGTACCTGCTCTGTGTTGTGATTTTGCCTGGAACCTCCTTTTTTGGGTCCCCCGCAGGCTCTCCTGGCCCCTCCTTCCTGTCGGGTGCCCCCACAGCAAGCAGCTTGCTATGGGGGCACCTGTTGCGCTGTGTGTCTATTCACACACAGATCCGTGGCTTGGCCCCACCCCCCCTCTCTCCTCATTGGCTGACAGGTTGTTATTGATAGCAGCGGGACCCAATATCTCCGCTTGCTGTCTCTGCCAATGAGGAGGCAGAGACCCGGAACAGCTGAGGCTGTCGTGCACATCGCTGGATCGCTATGAGGCTCAGGTTAAGTATTGAGGGGGCTGGGGGCACTGCTGTACACAGGTTTTTTACGTTCATGCATAGAATGCATGCAGTTAAAAAAACCTTGAGCCTTTACAACCACTTTAAACAACTGTAGTATCAGTCTGCAACATAACACTGAAAAAAGAGAAAGCAGTCTGAATACTTTGTGAATGGACTGTAAGTTTAAAAATAAATCACCTGTTGACTTCATAATATCTCTTATGCTCTCTTTTAAAGGGCCACATCTTTGTTCAAACAGAGCTATTGATTGGTTGACTATGTCTGAACCACACTTTTTGGCAGAGATCACATGTCCTGCCACTTTGGCTTTGTTTGGTTGCTTCGAGCAGTTTAGGTTTTTCAGGGACTTTAGGTCCATTTGTATCTTTAGTGTAAAAAAAAAAGGAAAGAAAGGGATATCTGACTAATATAGTTGAAGACCTTGTGTGGGGGAAAAAAAAAGAAATATTTTGATGGTGCCCATATTACCCATAGGTCAGCCATATGTCTATTGTAGCTTCCTTGTTCTCTGGTCTTCTATCTGCTTTAGGCTGGTCTTACCCATAGAGATCTCTGGATTGCAATGACTTGCTTCAGTGCTTCCTAGTCACAGAACTGAAAGAAGCATGCAGAAACTGAAAGCCAGAACGATGTAAGAACTTCCAATTTCTATACTGGGTCAGTGAAATATTGTAGGCTAAGTATTGGCATGACAGCTAGAGTTACTAGCGTTATCAGGAGAGGTCAGCAATGGAATACATTTCTATTATGGCAGATGCCTTTTTTTTTTAAAGAAGAAATGAGGGCACGAAGGTGTCACCAGAATAGTGTCTAACCCTTCCCCAACCTATCCCCAAGGCAAAACTTTATTTATTTATTAGTTTTGGATAGAGTGGAGAGGCATTAGAATATCTGTTAGTTTATGTTGCTGTTTGTGCCCCCATTGGTGAGATTCCCCCTCCCTATTTGTCCTGTTTACCGTTATCGAAAGTGAAAGTCAAAGAAAATCCCAAATTTTGTGTTGACACCAGAACAGTGATAGAGGGGACATTGTCCAATGAGGACACTAATTCTGGTGACACTTTGGGATTTTATTACTTTGGAGGGATTTCATTTCAATTCCTGTTTTCACTATGGGAGAGGATGTGAAGGAAAATCTCCCTGTCAGGGGTTATAACCCTCCCTTACTCTATCCAAAATTGAAAAAAAAAAAAAAAAAGTTTAGCCTTTAGTTACACTGTAATGCAAAAACTAAATTATCCTTATCCAAGAAAAGAACCACTTTTGTTTTCATAAACTAACTTTTACCCATGAAGCTATTCCATCTGGCTGAGAATCTCTCCCAGCCACAAAAACACTTGGATAGAAACCTTCCTTCAGTTGCTGGCAACTGATTTGTAACCTGCAATGCAAGTTCCAGTTTAGGTTACATTTAATAGCAAAAAAATGTTTTTAAATGCAAAGCATTCTCTAAATGGCGCCCATGCCAAGTGGTCACCATCCTGTATTCACAATGCATCAGACAGGCCGTTCAGTATGGGACTTGGAATAAAATGGAGATCACTGGTGTAGCGGTGTGATTTCCTGCTTCCTGGTGCATCAGCCACGTATGGTGTGTGTGCATGTGTATGCCGGGAATTCTTCTTTAATAATCTGTTCCTAAACACAATGCAAGCATCATATGCAAAACAAAACTTCTGTTGACCATACCTGGTGTATGTTTATGTTCCCTTTTTATATTTTACACCTCTTTTATGTTTTCTTGTTACTTATGTTCTTGTATATGTTCTGATTTCAAGACAACAGAAACAAAAGGAAAAAGAATTTTCACAAAATCCTTAAAGGACCTGCTTCAGTACATGCAACAATGCTGCTTGCAACAATATTCATTCATAATTCTACATACAAATATGTTTCATAACTATGATCCTGCTTATTCCTCCAAATAAAGTATATGGAGGGAAAGAAAAACAAAAAAGTGATTATGTTGTTTTATATATAAAAATCAATACATTTTTTTTTCTCCTTAGGAAATGGCAATAAGGGCTTTGAAACAGACGGGAAGTAGAAGCATTGAAGCAGCTTTGGAATTTATCAGTAAGATGGGTTATCTGGACCCTCGCAATGAGCAGATTGTCCAAGTCATCAAACAGACATCACCAGGTAATGTACATGAATGTTATGGTCTTCAGTTTCTCTTCTGCAATATCACAAATAACTTTTTCACAGTGGCTGAGATTTGAAAGCAGTGTTTCTCAGTCACTGGTACATACTATTGACAGGTTCAGGATGTACCTCTCTTTGTGTAGGTGATCCATGGATTTTGATGCTTGTTCATTATCCTCCACTTGTGTGCAGCCTAAATAAGAGTTTATGGTGCTGGTGTTAAATTCTGTTGAAAGGAAAAAAAAGAAAAAGAAGAATAAAAAAAAAATAATATATATATATATATATATATATATATATATATATAATCTCACAGAAGTGAGTACATCCCTCACATTTTTGTAAATATTTAATTATATCTGTTCATGTGACAACGCTGAAGAAATGACACTTTGCTACAATGTAAAGTAGTGCGTGTACAGCTTGTATAACAGTGTAAATTTGCTGTCCCCTCAAAATAACTCAACACACAGCCATTATTGTCTAAACCGCTGGCAACAAAAGTGAGTACACCCCTAAGTGATGTCCAAATTGGGCCCATTATTTTCCAGCACTGCCTTAACCCTCTTGGGCATGGAGTTCACCAGAGCTTCACAGGTTGTCACTGGAGTCCTCTTCCACTCCTCCATGACCACATCACGGAACTGGTAGATGTTTGAGGATGGCACACAGATGCTCAATAAGGTTTAGGTCTGGAGACATGCTTGACCAGTCGATCACCTTTACCCTCAGCTTCTTTAGCAAGGCAGTGGTCGTCTTGGAGGTGTGTTTTGGGGTCATTATCATGTTGGAATACTGCCCTGTGGCCCAGTCTCCGAAGGGAGGGGATCATGCTATGCTTCAGTATGTCACAGTACATGTTGGCATTCAGGTTCCAGCTCAATGAACTGTAGCTTCCCCAGTGCCGGCAGCATTCATGCAGCCCCAGACCATGACATTCCCACCACCATACTTGACTGTAAGCAAGACACACTTGTCTTTGTACTCCTCACCTGGCTGCCGCCACACGCCTGACACCATCTGAACCAATCAGACCACAGGACATGGTTCTAGTAATCCATGTCCTTAGTCTGCTTGTCTTCAGCAAACTGTTTGCGGGCTTTCTTGTGCATCAACTTTAGAAGAGGCTTCCTTCTGGGACGACAGCCATGCAGACCAATTTGATGCAGTGTGCGGTTTATGGTCTGAGCACTGACAGTCTGACCCCCCCCCCCCCCCCCCCACCCCTTCAAGCTCTGCAGCAATGCTGGCAGCACTCATACGTCTATTTCCCAAAGACAACCTCTGGATGTGACGCTGAGCACGTGCACTTAACTCCTTTTGTCGACCATGAGGAGGCCTGTTCTGAGTGGAACCTGTCCTGTTAAACCGCTGGTTGGTCTTGGCCACCGTGCTGCAGCTCAGTTTCAGAGTCTTGGCAATCTTCTTATAGCCTAGGCCATCTTTATGTAGAGCAACAATTCTTTTTTTCAGATCCTCAGAGAGTTCTTTGCCATGAGGTGCCATGTTGAACTTCCAGTGAACAGTATGAGAGAGTGAGAGAGATAACATCAAATTTAACACACCTGCTCCCCATTCACACCTGAGAGCTTGTAACACTAACGAGTCACATGACACTGGGGAGGGATAATGTCTAATTGGGCCCAATTTGGACATTTTCACTTGGGGTGTACTCACTTTTGTTGCCAGCGGTTTAGACGTTAATGGCTGTGTGTTGAGTTATTTTGAGGGGACAGCAAATTTACACTGTTATACAAGCTGTACACTCAATACTTTACATTGTAACAAAGTGTCATTTCTTCAGTGTTGTCACATGAAAAGATATAATAAAATATTTACAAAAATGTGAGGGGTGTACTCACTTCTGGGAGATACTGTGTGTGTGTGTATATATATACAATTTTCCAGGTGATTGGCAGTATTTTCAGAAGTGTGAGACCAAGGGCACTGCTGTTATGCAAATATGAACTCAGATCTTGACAAAATAGGGGGTTGGGTAGCTACATGGCAAATGAGGTTCAATCTTGATCAATGTAAAGTTATGCACTTGGGTGCCAACAATACACATGCAAATTACTTATTAGGAGGGGCAGCCCTGGGAGAAGCAGTGATGGAAAAGGATCTGGGGGTGATTGTAAATCAGAGATTTAGCAATAGCATGCAATGCCAAGCTGTAGTTAACAGAGCTAGCAAAATACTGTCATTCACTAAAAAGGGTGTATATTCAAGAGATAAATCAATTGTTCTACCTCTTTACAAAACACTGTTTCTGCCTCATCTTGAATATGCAGTCCAGTTTTGGTTACCAATTTCAGGAAAGTTGTTGATTTGGAAAGATTTCAGCAAAGAGCAACAAAATTAATAGGAAAGGGGATACCTCACCTATTTATTTATTATTTATTTCAGGTATTTATATAGCGCCGTCAATTTACGCAGCGCTTTACATATATATTACATTCACATCAGTCCCTAACCCTCAAGGGGCGTACAATCTAAGGTCTCTAACTCCCATTCATACATACACATACTAGGGACAATTTAGACAGGAGCCAATTAACCTACCAGCATGTCTTTGGAGTGTGGGAGGAAACTGGAGTACCCGGAGGAAACCCACGCAGGCACAGGGAGAACATGCAAACTCCAGGCAGGTGATGCCGTGGTTGGGATTCGAACCAACGACCTTAGTACTGCCAGGCGGAAGTGCTAACCATTTAGCCACTGTGCTGCCCATCCTATGAGGATCAATTACATAGATTACAGTTAAACTGGCCATACACTATACAATTTTCTGTTCAAATTCTGCCCAATTTCCTTTAGATTTACCTTTAACTATGTAGTGCAAGAGCCTGCCTAATTGGATACTATAGAAAGTGTTGTTAGGTTTGACCTCATATTATATGATTTTTGGTAAATCTAAACCAAAAATATCAAGAAAATTGTATAATGTATGGCCAGCCTTAGGCTAGCTTTACACAGCTTGTGTTTTTTTCTTTTTTTAATTTAGCCAGTGGGCTAAAAACACAAAAAAAAAAAAAGCCTAACGGATTCCTCTATCCACACAAATGAGGTGGATAGAGAAATGTCCCCTGCTGAGACATTGTATTCTGACAACAGCTCCCACTGTTGTCTGAATACACTGATCAGCAGCTGCAGCTTGTTCATTTGACAGAAGTCGATCACACAATTGACTGCTGTCAAAAAGGGACAGCATTATTTTAAGCTGTTTCACTATTAGGTATTCGGTCCATTGCACATGGGGGTATGTAGATGGTGTGTGCCCCTTCTGCCCTTCCGGTGTTTTAGTGCACCTGGGAGGAACAGGTGCAGTGTCTACCTTCACTGCCTGACTTTTGGCGCCCCCATATGCAATAGGCCTAAGTAGATTTTATTTAATAAACATTCTGATTTTGTTAAATATTCTGCTTTGGCACTATGAGTATTTAGAGTCAGCATAAGCATAAAACAGCAAATTACAAAGCTAGGAAGGGGGTGGTGTCTGGAAGCACAAAAGACAAACCTGTTCAATTTGGTAATGGAAAGTCGTTTAGAGATGTAGATATTTCTCTTTTTGACCTGGAACATACTTAAATGGAAACCTTGTCTGCTTATATTTGATATATTTCTTCTATATTTTTTGATGACTCCTATTACAGGTAAAGGCACAAGCTCCAATAATGTTCTTCATCGATCAAGTTTTGAAGGACCAAGTGAACCGTTTCCACCATATCATCCTATTAATAATCCGCCATACGAGGGGCCTGTTTTTCCTGCTGAAGGTTCCACTGTGCTTAATGATGTACCACGGCAATACATGGACTACTTGCTCTCTGCTCCCCAGGCTGGGGCTATGAATGGACCATCACAGAGGCCACCAGCACACAACCCTCCTGGAAGCCACCAGCATCAGCAGAAGGCGTATGCCACCGGTGTTGAGTCTCCTGCAATAACTTATACTATGGGGAACCACACCAGTCAAGGTCTACCCTTGCAGCCTTCCCATGCTTCAAACAGTCCCCATTATAGCCGACAGCACCTCATTGTCCAGGGGGACCCTATGGGGTATGGTGTCCAAAGAACCCCATCATTTCAAAACAAAATGCAACAAGAAAGTAATTATGTGAATATTCAGGGCAAAGGTCCAGTGCCACAAACTAGCCCAGGTCATACATATCAGCAAGCCCCAGCAGGCCTTTATATGCCACATCCTCACCACAAGCAGTCAAGTCCTTCCTCTCACCAGATGCTGGTTATGTCAAGGGGATCTCCCTATGTAAGTGAGTATCCTGACACACCACAAAATCCTTTTCCTCCATCACAGAATAGTCTAAACATGGATATATATGATATGAGTGGTGTTTGCCAGTGGCCAAATGCCCAACACCGCCGTGATTCTCTTCAGGGTCCTGGAATAGATGCTTCTCCACGGCAACACGTCTCTTTTAGAACAGAATCCCAAGTACCAAGCCGCACCAACTCTTTCAATAACCACCAACAGCCAAAGCAGGTGCAACTTCGGCAAACTCCTCAAACCAAACCTGATCCATCAATGACTTCACCTAATACCATCACCACTGTTACTTCTGCCCATATTCTCCAGCCAGTGAAGAGCATGAGGGTGGTTAGACCAGAACCTCAGACAGCTGTTGGTCCATCCCATCCTGGTTGGCTAGCATCACAAGCACAGGTGCAAGAAAATGTAGAGATGCTTGAGCCACATCCATTATCTGTCAGTGGGCCAAGTCCTTATGGGATTGAAGTGGATTATGGCAACCAGGACATAAGATTTCCACCACCACCCTATCCAAAGCATCTTTTGCTCCAGAACAGCTCAGAACAGCATGATATGAACTCTTTAAGTAAAGGTGTAGAGCAGAACCTCCGGGTTGTCGATAATGTAACTTGCAATCAAGCAGAGGAAGCCAATGGAGAAGTAAAACATGAGAAAGCAAGCAAGAGTTCTAAAACCACAAAATCTGGAAAGGACAAAAAGCAAATTCAAACATCTCCTGTACCAGTGCGTAAAAATAGCAAAGATGAGGAGAAAAGGGAGTCCAGAATTAAAAGCTACTCTCCTTTTGCCTTCAAATTCTACATGGAGCAGCATGTGGAGAATGTCCTGAAAACCTATCATCAAAAGATCAATAGAAGGTTACAGTTGGAACAAGAGATGGCAGAGGTAATTATTTTTCTTCTTTTTGTTCTTCATTTGTACATTTATTCATTTTTTTTTTTCTTTTTGTGGATGAAGACCTTGTCCATTCACAAAACATTGTGTATTCTTTTCACTGAATACAAGGCGTTCTGTGAATGGATGAGAGGGAATCCTGTCGTTTACTCACCTCTCTTCTCCTCTCATTTTGGTGTCACTCCTGTGCTGCTCGAAGAGTTGTACATGTTACACTTCGATATTTTCTGTAAAATTAAGTTGTACCTGAGGTTTATATGAGGCCCTAAAGTGTTAGGATATCCCTTATGAATCCATTCTGTATATCTGTGTTTCCTACACCTCTCCTGCTTGATTATTTCTTTGGGTCATGGTTCATTAGGGGGGACACCAAATCACTCACTAAATCTCACAAGACTAGCATTCAGAGACACGGGTTGATCTACTAAACCTGGAGAGTAAAACATCTGGTGCAGTTCTTCATGGTAGCCAATCAGCTTCTAACTTTGGCTTGTTCACTTAAGTTTTGACAAAAAGCTGGCTGGTTTCTGTGCAAGAGCTGTATCAGATTTTGCACTCTCTAGTTTTAGTAAATCAACCCTACAGTGCTTTAGATGATCTCACACTACAGGACAACTTTATGGTACAGTTCATAGAGGCCCCTACTAGGAATGATGCTCTGCTGGACCTAGTAATCTCAAACCATGCAGAGCTTATTACTAATGTCCATATAAAAAGAAATCTGGGTAGCAGTGACCATAACATGATTTCATTTATTGTTAGCTGTAAACAGTGAGCACATACGGGAAAAATAAAAATGCTCAATTTTAAGAGAGCTAATTTTCCAAGGCTGAGAGCTACTCTCCAGGACTTCGACTGGAAGGGAATATTGGCATCAATGAACACAACACAGAAATGGGAGTTCTTCAAACAGAATGTATGTGAACACACTGCAAAATATATATTCCCACGGGCAACAAGTTTAAAAGGCTAAAAATCAAAGCTATGTGGCTTATGGCCACATAGGTTTGATTATAAAGAGCTTTTTGTAAATATAAAAATGAAGGAACACTATCATCATTTAAACATTACAAAGAATATGCAAAAAGGCTGCAAAAATTGAAAAACGAACGACAGATTGCAAAAGATAGCAGGACCAACCCTGCAAAACATTCTTCAAATATATTAATAGTATAGGGGTGACTGGGGACAAAGAGAAGGAAAATTTATTAAATTTATTAAATACCTTCTTCAGCTCTGTGTATACAAAGGAGCATGGGGGAGCTCTTGTCCATAATGGGTATGGTAGTGACATAGCTCCAGATGATCCACATTGGCTCACAACTGATATGATCCAAAAATATTTAGAGAGAATAAAGGTGAATAAAGCACCTGGCATACACCCACGGGTCCTAAGAATTGAGCTCTGTCATTTCAAAGCCGTTGTTTCTAATTTTTAGGGACTCTTTAATGAATGGCATAGTACCATTGGATTGGTGTAAGGCCAATGTGGTGCCACTATTTTAAAAAGGGGTCAAAATCTTTACCAAGTAATTATAGACCTGTTAGTTTAACTTCTATAGTTGGGAAGATACTGGAGAGTTTAATAAAAGACCATATAGATGAGTTCTTTCTGGAAAAAATATTTTAAGCAACAGACAGCATGGATTCATGAAAGACAGAAGTTGTCAAACAAATTTCTTTTTATGAGGAGGTGAGCAAAACCTTGGACAGAGGGGTGGTAGAGGACGCGGTATACTTGGATTTTGCAAAAGCGTTTGACACAGTTCCCCACACACGGCTAATGTGTAAGGTAAAGTCTACGGGCTTGGAAAAAATCTGTATGTAAATTTATAGAAATCTGGCTAAAAGATCGTATTCAGAGAGTAGTGGTTAATGATTCATACTCTGAATGGTCTAGGGTTGTCAGTGGTGTACCCCAAGGTTCAGTGTTGGGACTCTTACTTTTTAATAATATTTATAAACAATATAGGGTCTGGGATTAAAAATCCCATTTCAGTCTTTGCGGATGACACCAAGCTGTGCAGTGGAATAACGTCCTTACAGGATGTCTTCAATTTACAATCTGACCTCAGTGCACTGTATAATTGGGCAACTATGTGGCAAATGCAGTTTAATGTTGATAAATGTATGGTTGTGCACTTGGGGGCTAAGAATATGCATGCATCATACATACTGGGGGGGGGGGGGGGGGGGAGTACAACTGGAGGAATCAATGGTGAAGGATCTGGGAGTTCTGGTAGATCACAAGCTTAATAATGACATGCAATGCCAAGCTGCGGTTTCTAAATCGAGCAAAATCCTCTCTTGTTTTAAAAGAGGTATAGACTCCAGAGAGAGATATCATATTACCCCTGTACAAATCATTAGTAAGACCTCATCTGGAATATGCAGTTCAGTTTTGGGCACCAATTCACAAAAAGAACATTGGGGAACTGGAGAAAGTACAGAGAAGGGCAACCAAACTGATAAGAGGCATGCAGGAGCTCAGCAATCTCCAAACACGGAAAGGTTTCTTCGCAGTGAGAGCTGTGAAAATGTGGAATAGACTCCCTCAAGAGTTGGTTCTAGCCAGCTCAGTGGATTGCATTAAAAAAAGGCCTGGATTCTTTCTTAGATACACAGAATATAACTGGATACTAACATTTATAGGTAAACTTGATCCAGGGAATATCCGATTGCCTTTTGGGGATCAAGAAGGAATTTTTTTCCCTGCAGGAGCAAATTGGATCGTGCTTTGCTGGGTTTTTTTTTGCCTTTCTCTGGATCAACTGAGGGTATAGGATTAAAGTAACTTTTTTTTTGATTGAACTGGATGGACTTTTTGGTCTCTTCTACCATAACTGCTTCTCCCTGCCTGTCAGTGTTAATGTACACTAAGCCATGCATGTGCAGCTCGGTGCACATTTACAGCACCTCCTTGTGCATAATAATGTGTGTTCTGTGTGCCCGTATGCTTCCATGGGAGTGACATTACCGCAGCCTTACTAATCAGCTGGCCAAACATTCTGAACTCTGAAGGAAGGTTGGGAGAAGATGGTAGCGCTAGTGACCAGCAGGAGCAATGACAGCGCAGCACTGGAGGCGCCGTTTGACAGAAAAGTCTGTCATATTGCACTAATAGCTTGATCACACAAGCTATTATGGCTAACAGCTCCTGGGGGCCTATTTAAAAAAAAATGTTGTGGACATAATGCCTCTTTAAGACACAAGAGCTAGGCAAAGAGAGTGCATCTTTTTTCAGGAGGAATTCAGTTGTCAAGAGTACTGTTTAGGCACAATTAACAGAGTTGTACATGTTACACTTTGATATTTGCTTACTGCACATTGGGATTCTAGGGCACACTGGAACAGAAATTATAACAAGTTGTTGATTTGAATCAGATTCTTGTGGTGGCTCCTGTCGCCTACTCTTACACAGTATTTTTTTACCAATGAGTTTATGTTCAATGCTCAAATCCACAAACATGTTTCAGCTAACATAACTCGTAAAGTGCATGTGTCCAAATATCTGCTGTGTGCTTGTCATTGCATTGCTTTCTCTTTGCCAGGGTAGAACCCTCTTGGCATTAACCCTTTAGGCGAGTACACATACCAGCAGCAGCTTCTGAGACCCTACTTTTGCCAGGCAAAGTTCTGACACCTCTGACTTCAGACGTACCGTGTTTCCCTGAAAATAAGACACTGTCTTGTATTTATTTTGGGTAGGTCTTATTTTTTTAATGTACAGGTGTGGACAGGGGGTGCAGAGGTGAGCAGCAGGCAGTTGTGGATGATCGTTACTATAGAGAGGACTGGCTGATGACAGTTGTGAGATGCAGTCAGGTGTTGCAGAGGATGTATTGACAGGTGAGTTTCAGACAGGGTGCAGAGATGAGCCACAGACAGGGTGCAGGGGTGAGTTGTGGACAGGGAATGCAGAGGTGAGCTGTGCCTGGGGGAAGCAGAGGCAAGCTGTAGCCAAGGGGTGCAAAGCTGAGCTGTGGCTGGGGGGTGCAAAGGTGGGTTGCAACTCAGCTCACCTCTGCACCCCCCCAAGCCACAGCACATCTATGCACCCTGTCTGCAACTCACCTGTCATTGTACCTCTGCAACACCTGACTGCAGCTCACCTTTGCAAATCCCCCTCCACTGCCCTCATATGGTTAACTAGCTTTGCAAAACATAGCTGTCAGCAGCCGGCCCCTCCCTATATTAACTCCCGTTTCGGGTCCTATCTTCCCGCACCAAGCGCACTCACTCTATTCTCCGCCTCTTCCCCACTGTCCGGTGATCACCCCTGGGACATCGACTTCCATGCATTAGGCTGCAGGACAAGATGCTCCGCCCCTAAACACACTGCGCCTGCAGAGATCTGTTTCTTCCCCGTCCCACAGTAAGTACAGAGGTAGGGAGGTTCTGTGAGAGCAGATGGTGCGGTCACTTACTAGAGGGACTATTACTTACAAACACAAAATCCTGGCTTCTGTGTTTATAAGAGACAGTAGATATTGGTGTGCGCAGAGCCAGTGCCGGTGGTGGCGGAACGGCGTTCCGCCACATTCCTGCTGGAAAGAAGCCCTGATCACAACTAGGTCGTATTTTCGGGGTAGGTCTTATACTTTAGCAATTCCCAAAAATAGTACTAGGTCTTATTTTTGGGGAAACAGGGTAACTGCTGCCTCCATCACAAACCAGTAGAAATGTCCAGAAGGCATGAAAGGAAGCTTATTGGAAGCTTTGCAATGTTGCCTGTCAGAGTTGCAGGCATTTGACTGTAATTGCAGGGTATTTGAAGTTGTTGTATGTATCAAGGTGTGTTTATTACCTTGGTTTTTTTTTTTCTGTTTGAATGACTACATCGCTAAGTTATTCTCATTGTGCTTAGGCATGTTTTTTTTAAAATAGTAAGTCAAACTGCCCTTAAATGTTCATGCGGTACAATGACCGATCAGACATTGGTATGTATGCGGTAACAGAAGCAGGTGGCAGATCTCCCTTGACAAGACATATAGACAGATCATGGGCACCAATAAGGAATACAACTTTGTTTAAATTAGATGAAGCTGTCATTTATTTACTATAATTAGTGGCATTTTGCTGCTCCACCTATTTACAGATAGTCTAATTCTGACTGTAATGTGAACAGCTGTAGAGAGAGTAATCTAGCCAGAATTCTTGAAGCTTTCCCTCTGCCTCCAATTCTGTTTGTATATATGAAATTCATGAAATTCCCTATTCAGTATTTATTAAAAATAGCACCTTAAGGAATGGCTCACAGTCAAGTGTCCTAGCAGTTTATTCCGAGCACTCAGCCTAAGAATAGGAGACCAAATATTGTCTGTCTTTAAGAGGAATTCTTCCTAAGAGGCAACAACGCAATGCAGGGTAGAAGATTAGAGTGGTGAAGGACAAAGTGAGTCACCGTGTTTAAATAAATTCCATTATTTTATATTGCGCTCTATTATATCGGGCTAAAATATTTAAACTAAACCAACTCATACCTGGACAATTCAAACTGAACATATGGGGAAAATGGTTGTGGAGTGGGGGGGGCAGTGGTAGGAGCAATCTTCAGCCATTACAGGAAAAGTTTTTATGACTTCAGCTGCCTGTATCTCTTGATCTAATGATCATTTTGACGTGTATCTTCCACTGAATGGAACCACTACATATTCCTTTTTCATCATATCTTAGTCAAACTTTTACAGACTTGTGACATGTTTTCCATACAAATAGCTATGGGTGAATTACGAAGAACTGTTTTACCTTCCAAATGGTTTGTATTTCTGTCCATCTACTTCTGAGATTTATTATTATTATTATTATTATTATACAGGATTTACCATATTTTTTGCTCCATAAGACGCACCTGACCATAAGACGCGCCTAGGTTTTAGAGGATAAAAACAAAAAAAAAATGTTCTGAACCAATGGACTGCAGACACAGTACAGGAAATGACCAGAGACTGCAGACATAGTACAGGAGATGACCATAGACTGCGGACATAGGACAGAAGATGACCAGAGACTGCAGACAAAGTACAGGGGATGACCAGAGACTGCAGACAGTACAGGAGATGACCAGAGACTGCAGACACAGTACAGGGGATGACCAGAGACTGCAGACAGTACAGGAGATGACCAGAGACTGCGGACAGTACAAGAGATGACCAGAGACTGCAGACATAGTACAGGAGATGACCAGAGACTGCTGACAGTACAGGAGATGACCAGAGACTGCGGACACAGTACAGGAGATGACCAGAGACTGCAGACACAGTACAGGAGATGACCAGAGACTGCGGACACCGTACAGGAGATGACCAGAGACTGCGGACATAGTACAGGGGATGACCAGAGACTGCGGACATAGTACAGGGGATGACCAGAGACTGCAGACACAGTACAGGAGATGACCAGAGACTGCGGACACAGTACAGGAGATGACCAGAGACTGCGGACATATTACAGGAGATGACCAGAGATTGCGGACATAGTACAGGAGATGACCAAAGACTGCGGACAGTATAGGGAATGACCAGAGACTGCAGACATAGTACAGGGGATGACCAGAGACTGCGGACACAGTACAGGGGATGACCAGAGACTGCAGACATAGTACAGGGAATGACCACAGTCTGTGGACATAGTACAGATGACGAGAGACTGCAGACAGTGCAGGGGATGACCAAGACTGCGGACGGACCTTTAGGGAGGGAGGGGGAACAGGTACCTGAATTTGACAGGTACCCGCTCCCACTTCCGCGGAGTTGTCCTTCCTTATTCCCGCGGCGGCTTCTGTGACAGCCGGGTGTCCACTGCGCATGCGCGAGAAGCGCTGCGCTTTGTGAATGGCCCGGAGCCTTCTGGGACCTGTCATGTGTCCCAGAAGATGCCGGACCATTCACAAAGCGCAGCGCTTCTCACGCATGCGCAGTGGGCACCCGGCTGTCACAGAAGCTGCTGCGGGAAGACTGCAGCGCTGGAGCGAGGAACAGGTAAGGTCCTGCAGGAGAGAATAGCTGAGCGGCCGGCCCGATATTCTGACATGGTGGCTGCAGAAATACTGGACCGGCTGCTTTACATTCGCTCCATAAGACGCACTGACATTTTCCCCCCTTTTTTGGGGGGAAAAAAGTGCATCTTATGGAGCAAAAAATACGGTATATAGCGCCAACAGTTTGCGCAGCGCTTTACAATATAAGGGAGACAGTACAATTACAATACATTTCAGTACAGGAGGAATAGGAGGGCCCTGCTCATGGAGCTTACAATCTAAAGGAAGGGGGAGGTGATACAAAAGGTGATAGCTGCGGGGGATGACCTGGTGGAGGTGATTCAAGTACAGTTCTTAGGTGGAGGTGGGGTAGGCTTCCCTGAAGAAGTGAGTTTTTAAAGATCACCTAAAGGCAGACAGGGTGGGGGCTGACCGGACATGCTGTGGTAGAAAGAAAAGGAGGGGCCCAAGGACAGAACCTTGGGGTACCCCAACAGAAAGAGGAAGCGGAGCGGGGGAGGAGGAGTTGTATGTGACACTGAAAGTGCGCTGTGAGACTTAAAGTGACAGTGACAATGTGAGATTTAAAGGATAAGTTCACCTTTCATAACCTTTTACATGTTACATCCATATTCAGGGTAACTTGTTATGAATGTACTGGCCCCCGCATTCCTCCCCATCCACATTGTGACAGCTAGCTAGAGAGTTTTTTTTTTTTTTCTTGGGAGAGTGCATGTGACCAGCACAGGGCTAATCAGCACTATCCAGACAGAGGTCAGGGGTTCTACATCCTCCTAGAGAAAACTCCTCCTACAAGCTTTAACCAGTGCTCTGCTGAACAGTGATAGAAGTCACAAGACTGCTCTAACTGCTGATGACAAAAGGTAGCTTATATTTACTAAAATATTTGCATTTTCATGTTCTGTGTACTGCGGGGAGATTAGATATAGTGAATGCAGGGTCCTGGGTTTAGTAACACTTAAAGTCTTTTAACTTAGTCATCGAATAAATTAATAAAACTGTGTGTGCATTTAAATTGGAACCTTGTAGGACAAAAATAGGTCAAACCTTTAATAATAGCTTCATGTAAAATATCAAGCTAAAAACTAAAAAAAAAAAGAAAAAAGTAGAAAATAATGAAATACTACAGACTCCACCTTCGAGGCATCTGTGTTGTCACTGAGCCTTCCTGCATCTGTTATGGAAACCTGAAGAGCCTAAATTTCACAGGAATGTGCTTTTGCTGGAAAGGAATAAGGAAAAAAAAGAATGTTGGCAAATATATTCGTGTGTTAATATTTATCACTGCAAATATAGGCTGTACAGCTGCATGTGGGGAGAATCCTGTCCATGGTCTATAGTGTTGGGACCGGCTGCTGTTTCTAGTGTGACTTGTGCTACAGACTGAAGAGAGAAGGGTCGGTCTGGTGGGGGTTCTTACCTCTGAGTAGTCTGATCTTTTTCTGCGTATTTCATAATGGTGTCCATACTATGTCCATAATACGCAGAAAGCAGAAGCTGGGTTGCCTGAAGGTTATGCATACATACAGTACATAAGGATAGATACGTATGGTCAGAATCATTTGGTAGATAAAAGAAATGTTGCTCAATGCATGCTATCAGCTTTTACTTAGCATCCTGATCTTAGGGAAATTCAATACAGATTATAATCACATTTTTTGCATAACAAGCCTTCATTACCAGTGATTACCAGTTATGGTTAGCTTTTCAATTTAAAGTGATTGTAAACCCTCACCAGAAATGAAAGGCAAAACGTGTATAGATATAAAAAAGAAATTATAAAAACCTTTTTTTCCCCTTTTTTGTAAGTGATCACATACCCTGTGTTCTCAGCTGCATAAGATCTGGTGGAGGAGAAACCGCAGAACACTGATCTTCCAAGTGAATGGTGGTGCGGGGGGGGCATGTCAGGACAAGACTGATTATTGACTGAGATCAGGCTTAGTTCCAGCACAGCTAGGGAACTGTCCATGGTGTATTCTTCTGCTTAGTGTGGCCAGTTTTTTAATAGGAAAGCAGAAGGACTAGCGGGAACACCAGGGATTTCACACAAAAGAAGCAATACAAAGAGAATAGGATATTTTTTCATACAAGTACATGGTACAGCAGGCACATATCAGGAATATGAAGTGTTGGGTTTACATGTTGTTTAAAGTGGTATTAAAGCCTTGTCCTTTTTTTTCATATAAAATAACAAACATGTTATACTTACCTGCTCTGAGCCCCTATCCTTCTCGGGTCCCCCGCTGGTGCTCCTGACTCCTCCACCTTGAGCAGTGCCCCCAGAGCAAGCTCCTTGCTCTGGGGGCACTGATACATGCTCGCTCCTGAGCCACTGCTCTGTGCATCAATAAGAAACACATAGCCGTGGTTTGAACCCCAAACCCTCCCCCCCTCCCCCAAGCTCTCTCCTCATTGGCTCACTGACTGTGATTGACAGCGGCGGGAGCCAATGGCCTCCCACTGCTGTCTCAGCCATTGAGGAGGGAGAGTCCCCGTAGAGCAGTGGCTATAACCACCGCAGTAATTGCATGCAAAAAATCCTTCGATTGACTTCAGTACAACCAGCCTGCCCATACATGGATCGAATCTCGACCGGGTCCTTGCTGAACCAGCCAAGATTTGATCCATCTATGGCCGATTTTAGTCCTCTGTCTGGAAAACACAAATGGCTATAAAAACATGACAGAGGATCTGACCTTCTCCATCCTACTAGAAGAAAAACTGCTTTTTTGACTGTGTTTGTCCATTTTTTGTGAAAATTTCCTAGCACTTCATTTCCCTGTGACATAAAAAAAAAGTTTTGGATAGAGTTGGGATTCAAATCATTGTGGAACATTTTATTTATGTGGATAAGCAGTATGATATTATGCTTTGCTTTTGTTTGTAAGAATACTCTTGGCTTGCCCCATAGCGATAGCAGCTATGGTTTTAGCTACACAGATGAATGACTGGCTTGTGTATATTTTTGTAACACTAATTATACCTCTATTTTTACCCAAATCCCTGCTGATACTGAATGCAGCTTGACTGCACTGCGTAGGGATCAGTACAAGTCATGAGCGCTGATGCTGGTAGGCGGTCAGTCAGTGCTTTGTTCTCGCTGCATATTTCTAGAGAGGTGTAGGATGTTTGCGTGGTGCGGAAGATCCTAAAATGTTTTAGTTTGCTGATTAGGAATAATTAGCACAAGTTGGTTCTCTTCAGTGTGAGGCTGTACTTTGATTTGAAACCATTCATTTTTATTCCATCTTTAAGGTCTAAATAAAGCACAACAAAAGCAGTGTACTGTTACTCCTGTGTTTTATTTCCTTGGACTAAAGTTGGCTGTAGACATTGTTAGGAAACGAAGCAAAGAAAAGGAAAAGGTGCTATAAATATCTCCCTTAAAGAAATAAATATCACCCATGTGAAAATCAAAAACATCCTTCAATTAAAAAATAAAATATATATATGTATAGTGTGTGTGTATGCATATATACAGTGGATATAAAAAGTCTACACACCCCTGTTAAAATGTCAGGCTTCTGTGGTGTAAAAAATGAGACAAAGATAAATAATTTCAGAACTTTTTCCACCTTTTAATGTGACCTATAAAGTGTACAACTCAGTTGAACAACAAACCTTGGTTTCATCAGACCATAACACATTTTCCCACATGCTTTTGGGAGACTTCAGATGTGATTTTGCAAATTTTATCCAGGCTTGGATGTTTTTTCTTCGTAAGAAAAGTATTCCGTCTTGCCACTCTACCCCATAGCCCAGACATATGAAGAATACGGGAGATTGTTGTCACATGTACCACACAGACAGTACTTGCCAGATATTCCTGCAGCTCCTTTAATGTTGCTGTAGGCCTCTTGGCAGCCTCCCAGACCAGATTTCTTCAGGTCTTTTCATCAATTTTGGTGGGACGCCTAGTTCTTGGTAATGTCACTGTTGCGCCATATTTTCTCCACTTGATGATGACTGTCTTCATTGTGTTCCATGGTATATCTAATGCCTTGGAAATTCTTTTGTACCCTTCTCCTGACTGATACCGTTTAACAATGAGATCCCTCTGATATTGTGGAAGCTCTCTGCAGACCATGGCTTTTGCTGTAGGATGCGACTAAGAAATGTCAGGAAAGACCTACTAGAACAGCTAAACTTTATTTGGGGTTAATCAGAGGCACTTTAAATGATGGCAGGTATGTACTGACTCCTATTTAACATGATTTTGAATGTGATTGCTTAATTTTGAACACAGCTACATCCCCAGTTTTTAAGAGGGTGTGCACACTTATGCAACCACATTATTTTAGTTTACTTCCCCCACCCCCCCCTAAAAGATTTGTTTGTTTTTCAATTGAGTTGTACAGTTTATAGGTCACATTAAAGGTGGAAAAAGTTCTGAAAATATTTATCTTGGTCTAATTTTTTTTTACATCACAAAAACCTGCCATTTTAACAGCTTTGTGTAGGAATGTTTATTTTATATGCAGTGTGTGTGTGTGTATGTATATATATATATATATATATATATATATATATATATATATATATAAAAACATACACATTTTTTTCACCTAAAAAACAAATCAAATATCCAAGTGCAAATAATGAAAATTCATAGTGCCAAATGTGATCAAATGTCTAAAATAATTGTATGTCAAAAGTCCACTCTTCTAGTGTCAACCAAGGTGGAATAGTACTATTGTTTTGGGGTTTTTTTTCTTTTCTTTTTGCACTAATAAAATGGCTGTTCCATAATTTTTATTAGATATCTTTTGTAAATTGTAGGCTGGTCTTTGTGAAGCTGTTCAAGAGCAAATGCGGAAAATTCTGTACCAAAAGGAATCCAACTACAACAGACTAAAAAGAGCCAAAATGGACAAGTCTTTGTTTGTGAAGATTAAAACCCTGGGCATTGGTGCCTTTGGTGAAGTCTGCCTTGCCAGTAAAGTGGACACCAAAGCTCTGTATGCCATGAAGACTTTGAGAAAAAAGGACGTTTTAAACAGGAACCAGGTGGCACATGTCAAAGCTGAGAGGGACATCCTAGCAGAGGCTGATAATGAGTGGGTAGTTAAACTTTACTACTCCTTCCAGGACAAAGACAACTTGTACTTTGTGATGGACTATATCCCAGGAGGAGATATGATGAGCTTACTTATACGGATGGAGGTGTTTCCTGAGCATCTGGCCATGTTTTATGTCGTAGAATTGACTCTGGCCATTGAGAGTGTCCACAAGATGGGGTTTATTCACAGGGACATCAAACCTGACAACATTCTTATAGACCTGGATGGCCACATAAAGCTAACAGACTTTGGTCTCTGTACTGGATTCAGATGGACACATAACTCAAAATACTATCAGAAAGGTGGGTTTCTGTGTGGTTGTCATGCTTTTTCCCATTCTCATTCTGCAATAAATAGACATAATAGTCATCTGCTCAGAGGTTAGTTGGCATTAGATGTGAAAATCCAGTCTTCCAAAACAAATGACCAGACTTATGGGTAATGCTATTAAGTATGTATTAAAAACTGTTCCCTATTCTCTATGAATCTCCATTTAATTATATCTCCAATATAATACTATTTTGGCAAAATTTTCCTTCCTAATAACTGCATTCCTATTAAAGCAGGTGTAATTTTTCTTTATTCAGGTAACTTCTAATAAATATAAGTAAAAACATGAAAGTCCAACTCTATTCAGAAGTTTTTATTTAGCTTTGGGGGGTGAGGGGTGGGGGCGGGGTTAGAGCGCAGAAAGGTTTTGAAATCTCAGTGGTTTTTTATGGCTTCCTTTACCTATCTCTGACAATGATGTATGCACCTTTCATATTTTTCTGGTATACCAGGAACAGGAAATGAGGGGACCTCTCCCAAATAGGATCAGCACAGTATATCCAGTCTAAATTTTTTTTTTCTTTTTACATTTTGGATAGAGTGGGTTAGGATTAGAAACCCTATTGGGTATTACTATCTGAGACTCTGTTAGAGAGATTTACATTCATTTCCAGTCAACAGATTGAAGAGAAAATATAGTGCTACAAAAACTGACAGTTGTTCTAGCCTTTCCCTTACTTTAAAAAATATATATATACACATATATATATATATTTCTGTTGGTATTGCTGCAGATTTTTCTAACACTTCCCATCTGCTGAAACCACTGTCATGTTGGGTAGTAATTCCTACCCAAACTATCCAAAATGAAAAATACCTAAACCCACATGTTAATGTTTAAATAGTGTTTTTATCTGCCTGGAGTTTAGTGTTATGCGTAGCCTTTTGCACGGGTGGGTAAAATGATGTGCTGTATATATTTTGCATTTATTTATTTTATATATTCACATAACAATAACCAATTCCATAACACTAGCTAGAATAAATAGACCAGTGAACAGTAACTGTACTTCACCTTGTCGTATACACATACACTATCTTGCCAAAAGTATTGGGACGCCTGTCTTTACACGCACATGAACTTTAATGGCATCCCAGTCTTAGTCCGTAGGGTTCAATATTGGGTTGGCCCACCCTTAGCAGCTATAGCAGCTTCAACTCTTCTGGGAAGGCTGTCCACAAGGTTTAGGAGTGTGTCTATGGGAATGTTTTACCATTCTTCCAGAAGCGCATTTGTGAGGTCAGGCACTGATGTTGGACGAGAAGGCTTGGCTCGCATTCTCCATTCTAATTCATCCCAAAGGTGTTTTAACGGGTTGAGGTCAGGACTCTGTGCAGGCCAGTCAAGTTCCTCTACCCCAAACTCGCTCTCATCCATGTCTTTATGGACCTTGCTTTGTGTACTGGTGTGTAGTCATGTTGGAACAGGAAGATGAGATCCCCCCAAACTGTTCCCACAAAGTTGGGAGCATGAGATTGTCAAATGTCTTGGTATGCTGATGCCATAAGAGTTCTCACCCCCCCCCCCCCCACCAAACTTTACACTTTAAATTGCGCACGCTCGTGGAATGGCGCAAACTACGGGTAAGGCTTTAAACATTTCTACAGGTTACCAGTTTAAAGTTAAAGAGGAGTTCTAGTGCTAGAACTTGCTCTGATGTTCACGGCGATACCTCACGTGTGGTTTGAACACTGTTTACATTTATGGGCATGGCCTACGCATGAGCACTGGGGGACACTTTCAATGTTTTTTATTATTTATTTTATTTTTATTTTTTTCTTTTATGCAAATATCCCTTGTGATAGAAATAAGCAGTGACGGGTCTTCTTTATGGAGAGATATAGGGTCAATAACACCCACATCTCTCCTCTACAATGTAAAGAATTAAATCAAAAAATCATTGATCTAGTGCTTTAATTAAAAAATGGCCTTGTTTACAAGGCGCTGGAACCGGAAGTGATGTAATGACATCACTCTGGTCCTCCAAGGGCATAGAGATGAGTGGAGGCCATCTTTCCTTCACTGATCTCTATGCCCAGTGCTGGGATCGTTGGATGGGTTCTTAGATAAGGCTAAGACCACCGGGCTTTGAGAGGCGGCGGTATCAGTGCTTATTTTCATATTGGCCAAAAAGCCGATTAGGGGTATTTTTAGCCCCTGTATCGGTGCTTATTTTCATATCGGCCAAAGGCCGATAGGGGTATTTTCGAACAAAACGTTTTGGCTACCGAAATTTCGGTGCATCCCTAATATTTATAGGCCATGAGAGGAAATTAGTGTACGAGAAGGAAATCCACAAAGGAGAGAATATGCATTCATATAGACTTTTTTTGTGGGTACCAATCCCGCTCCCAAAGAACTGGTGTGCTGATCCCAAACTTAGGGTCCTGGTTCTAAAGCAGTGCTATGACCTTACCACTGCTTACAAAAACGCATATTTATAAACCACAGTGGTGTATGTTACACATGTGAATTGCACTCTGCTTGCTTCAGCAGTCTGAGCAAGCTGAGTGCAATTCAGATTAAGAGAATTTTAAGAAAAAAAGCCAGGAAGAGAGCCATGAAATTGCACCTGTCAGCCATGTGACTGGTCTTTCCTCCAATCACAAAGTTTTCTCTGTAGAGTTAAGCATCCTTACATTTTAAGAAGAGGAAGTAAAATGCAGACCCCAATGTGGTGTCCGGTGGAGAGTAGATAAGTGTGTGTGTATGTTTTTTCCTTCAGATTGGTGGATATCTTTTTTGTTTTCATGGTTTGAGAATGATGTTAGAATAGAGATGAAGAGATAGGAAATGACAGGTTCATACCATAACCTTGGTGCGTAAGACTTTTGCAGGTTTCCAAGCTTTTTTGCCAAAACATCTCTTTTAGGTTTAAGTGTGGCACTTTAATTTAGCCATTTTGAACAGTTATTGTGAGACAGTTGTTAAAATAGAGAAATGTGCATCATAGTTTTGCAATGCAAGTACTACATATCAAATTCATTTAAATGTAAGGATGAGTTTGCCTTGAACCCATAAAAATGTAATAAACCTATGTCCATTCTTGTAACTTTAAGGGAGCCACATTCGGCAGGACAGTATGGAACCCAGTGAGCTGTGGGATGATGTGTCTAATTGCAGGTGTGGAGACAGACTGAAGACGTTGGAACAGCGGGCTAAGAGACAGCACCATCGATGTCTGGCTCACTCCTTAGTAGGGACTCCTAACTACATAGCCCCTGAAGTCCTCCTGCGCAAAGGTGAGTAGTATATAAAAGAGATCAGCTGCAGCCATAAGGCTAAGCCATTTAAGACCGGGACTATAGGAGGACCTGGAGTGCAACTACAAGCAAACAAGTGCAAAGAATCAAACTTTTTATTATCTTAGGCTGGCCATACATTATAGAATTTTCTTGTACAAGTTTCCGTTAAATTTACCAAAGCCATATAATATGAAGTCAAACCTAAACACTTTCAAGTTGTATGCAATGAGACAGGACCGTTCACTACATAGATAAAGGTAAATCTAAAGGATATTGAACAAGAACATTGTGTAATGTATGGCCAGCTTTAGACTCTTGTGGTGGAGTGGGAGTGATGCTAAAGCAGGATTAGAGAGGGGTGTCTGAACCAAAGAACTTTCTGGCCTGCATTTTTGTGGCTCAGAATCAGGGTCCTTCAGAAGGTTGGATGAAATGAGGATCATGAGGTGGCTATGGGGATTTTAGCGATGGTGCTGTCAATGTCAAGCTGACAGTTTGAGGAATTCATTAGAAGTTTTTTTAGCTGAAGACTGTAAACCAGCATTCCCCAACCTTTATGCAGTCATGGCCCCTTTAAATGTATGCAGAATTTAGAGGCACCCAGTTTAAAATAAAAAATGTAAATGTTGCTTACCATCAATGGGAGGATAATAACTGATAGACTCTAATTAATCCCCTAAACTGCCAGATGTTTTCAAGCAATGCCAACATGAATCCAATACTTTTACTTTTGAGCCTATGAATAGAGTCTTTTATTTCCCTATATGTGGATATTTAAAGTGGTTTTAAACCTCAGATTTGAAGTATGAACAAAGCATATCCCTCTATAGCACATACACGTCTCAATCCAGAGCACGAAGGGTCATTTCTGTCCGCTGCTCGTTCCTCTGCTATTTGCATGAGTCACTTCTGACAAGTTTTCCTGACACCAAAAGAAAAATGGTGACAGGGGAGGGACCTCCAGCACACAGCCTATGATTGACAGCCTCAACTTGTATGCTGTGTAAAGGGGGGGGGGTGTTCCTTCCCTCCAAAAAGCTCTCAGAGCTTCCTTCACAGAGCTCTGCAAAGTGTAACTTCAGATCCCCACCTCCTGTTTTCAGGAAGCTCAGACAGGCTGTATAAATTCTGGACTGTGAATGGCTGTAGAGAGGAGAATACTGCAAATAAACAGATACAACTTATGTAGTAGAATTTGTTTCAGTTCATATATGAATATTAAAGGGAAGGCATGTTTCCATACTACAGTACACTTTAGACTCAATTCACTAAGATGGATGAGCTATTTTATTTTGTCTTATCTTGAGCTAAGTTGTTCTGTCCATGTTTTGCAGGATACACTCAGCTTTGTGATTGGTGGAGTGTGGGAGTCATTCTCTTTGAAATGCTAGTTGGACAGCCACCTTTCCTAGCATCCAATCCAACAGAAACACAGCTAAAGGTAGGTGTCACTTCAGGCCCTGTTTTTTTTTTTTTTTGTTTAGAACTCTTTCTTGTCCGTAGCCATATATGATCTGTCAGTTGTTGTTCAGCAGTCATGTATATTTTTCAGTAAAGCAGCACAATGATAGTGTGTGGAATACAGTAACATATAGGGATACATCCAATTTCAATTTATTTGAGTTACATCAGTGAAAATAGATTCTTAATTGTTTATATCAGTTATAGCTTTTTTTTTTTTGCACCTTGCTTTTGCATAGTGAATTTAAACGACATTAAATCCACAACCAAAAATGTAATATATTGCAGCTTACCAATTATTAGATGTGCTGGCTGCTGTAGTTTTTTCTCTATTGGAGCTTTTTGACCTCTGTTTTTGCCTGGTGATCTGACCAGTAACACACTACGGTATTATAGTACCTACACTCTTGATGGAGGAGCAACAGACACCTGTGGACAGCAGCATTGTCAGTCTGATTGGAGGGGAATGTTGGCTATACTAGCAGATTTAGATACACTAAATAAATTGAAGCCAAACTCTACGCAGTTACATCAACTTTTTTTTTTTTTTGGGATAAGTGTTTTACATAAATAGCTGATCATTGTAAGGAGTCTTGTCAGTGGTAATTAGTTTATCTCAACCTTCTAACTGCTGCATCTTCAGGACAGCTTGTTCTGTTGAAAAACAACAGCCTTACTGGATGACCAGACTTACTAGGATCACCAGGTGAAAATTAAAGAAAGAAAGAGAAAGAAAGGCTAAAATAATACCAAACCTAATACAGCCATCTCATCTAAGAACTTTGAAGCTACAATATAATAAATGTTCGCGTTTGGGTTTAATACTGCTTTATGACTTGTAAACTCTGCCTTATGACTTGTAACTAAGGGTAAAATTATAATAAGGTTTATCTGTAGGTACAGTGAATATCTCCTAAATGTGTACCGTTTAGGATGGTGGTCTCCAAACTACTGCCCAGGGGCCAAATGTGGCCCTTTGCTTGCCTCTGTTTGGCCTTTGGGGCACTATTCCATCCACAACTGACACCAACGAAAGGATACTATTCCTCCCACAGACAGCAGTGATGATGTGATATTTTCTCCCACTGATATCAACAATGGGGCACTATTGCTCCCACTGATAACAACAATATTGCACTATTTCTCCCACAGATACCAACAATGGAGCACTATTCTTCCCACTGATATCAAAATATGGCACTATTTCTCCCACAGATACCAACAATGGGACACTATTACTCCCACTAAAACCAATGATGGGGCATTGTTTACTCCCAATGGCCACAGTCTGGCCCCTAAAGTCTGAAGGACAGTAAACTGGCCCTTTGTTTAGAAAGTTTGGAGACCCCTGGTTTAGGAGTTATTCACATCTGCAGCAGCTGGTGAGATCACTGGCACATGGGCACTGTGCTCTGAATGGATGGCACACTGAAGTATGCTGTCTATGAAGAGCACTGTGTCGTGACCGTGACTCCCGTGTGCATGCACAGGAGTGACGTCATCGGCCTGGCCATTCAAGCAGCCGATCAGTGCGAGCCCGAAAGGAAGACGGGTGAAGATGGAAGCGCCGACAGTGGTGACAGCACACTGCTAGAGGGCTTCTTTTTAAGGTAGGTCTATCATAATGTGCAAATATGTGGTGCATACTAGCACATTATGACTTAAACCACACAGAGATCAAATCTTTTATTTTTTTTATTGTAGGACTTTACTACTGCTTTAACCTTATAGTGTTACTTAGCAAACATTACAATCTGACATTATGGTAATAACCAATTCACAAGAATTTTCATTGAATTACTGCTCATTTTTCCAGCCATGGAGCTGTTGGCACTACAATGTCATTCTGTTTTTAAACTACTGTTTGTAGCAGTTTGGGTGCATTTCCCATTGGATGCTGTGATCGAAATTGTAAAACAAACAGCCTAAAAAACTCTTAAATAATGCGGGACTTCTTGAATTTTTTTGAAAGAGAACACCAAACAAAATTATGTTATCTAAATACTCAGAGCGCTTAAAGGCTAAACCCACTTTTTGCAAAAAATAATAAATGTATTTGTAGAAAAAAGTGCAAAAATGATTTTGCAACTGATTCTGCAAAGTATTGCAACCGCATTCAGTGGATCGTGGGGGCAATGCACACAGGCTGCTGCTAACTTCCTCCAGCTCCATAGTAAGGTAGGGATTGTTCAGTTAGAGAGATAATTGTATGATGGATAAGATGTCCAGTACATTTGACATTATTGTGTATTGCTTTACAGGTAATAAACTGGGAGAACACGCTTCACATTCCCCCCCAGGTTAACCTGAGCCCGGAAGCAACAGATCTAATTACCAAGCTGTGTTGTGCAGCAGAAAACAGACTGGGGAGGAATGGAGCTGGTGAAATAAAGGCTCACCCCTTCTTTAGTACCATGAACTTCTCTACTGACATTCGAAGGCAGCCAGCACCTTATGTCCCAAAAATCAGTCACCCGATGGACACTTCAAACTTTGATCCGGTGGATGAGGAAAGCCCTTGGAATGACAGCGGGGACAGCACAATGGCCTTGGACACACTCATGTCGCCCAACAACAAACACCCAGAACATGCCTTTTATGAGTTCACTTTCCGCAGGTTCTTTGATGACAATGGCTACCCATTCCGCTACCCTAAGCCATCTCGTGTGGAGGCGATGCCATGTGAAGACTTGCAGGAAGAAAATAAGACGAAATCTGGTGAAACAGAAAGCTGTCAGCCAGTCTACGTGTGAACTAAATGGATGCATTTTGGAAAATGCTCATAGTATTATTTGCCAACAAGATCTTTCCATCATAGACATGGTAACTTTGCACATTTCTGGGAAATAAATGTGACTGTGCCCTTAAAAAATGCACAGCATTCTGAAGGAAATTGTCACCATCTTGCCGTCATATGATGGCACAGAGAAGAACATATGTATCTGAACAACTGATGAACTTTGGATGTTCTTGGTACTTTTTTTTTTAGCACCTCACTGTTTTGACCTTCACACATACCTGACTCACAAGGCCATTTCTTGATGTGAGCTGTGTAAGCTTCGAAGGTCTCAGCAAAAACCAAACCAAAGATGATAAATCCAGATGAAGGCTACAGTTTGTTTGCTTTGTGCTCTGTATGCAAGCAACAATATGTTACTCTGGGAAGTTGGACAATTCTGTTGGTCTGAACTGGCAGCAGAAGATCACTTAGTGGGTATACTACCCCTTTACTTTTCATGTCTGCAGAGGAAGCACATTCTGTGTTGGAGAACTTTAACCATTTTTTTAAACCTCCATCCTTTCCACTTGCTGCATTCTAGTTTATAAAATTAGAAAAGGGTCCGCTCACTTCAACCTATTGTTCCTATTTATCTAACCATCCATCCCATACTGTGATACACAATAGCCAGTATGGCAGTGAAATCTGCTCGGATCCAGAATTACCGGAAATTAAATTTTGTGGCCATTGAAGGAGCCTATCGTTCCACACAAAGTACATGCCATATATTTGTATTGTACATGTAAAACAGTTACTGACGACCTCAACAATAATCTATATATATATATTTTTTAGAAAGAGCACTTATATATTTTCTAATACGTAAGTTTATATGTCTTTGCAGAATTTTAACATGACATAACATGCTGCTGTTTTTTTTCTATTTTCATATGAGGTATTTTATTTGACTGACTTATAAATTGTAAAGACCATAAGGCTTGCCAGGATGGGGGGAGAGCAATGTTTGATATAGGGTGTTTATGTAACGTGATTGCAGAAGCTGATCATTTTTAGTATTTTTTAAAAGATTCAGTTGCCTGTTTCTCCCATATTGCCTTAGAGGCCATACAAGTAGGGTCCATCTAAGCTAAATCATTTGAGCTTAAAGTGTATGAAAACCCTAACAGTGACCTTTCTCTTATTTGCTCCATTTTGGTCTGTTAAATATACCATACATAATAATTATATATATGTGCACAAAAAACCTGCTAATCCTGCTAATTTTCCAGGAGCTCATACCTTCCAGCACTGTATGCCTATGCAGTACAGAAATCTCAAGCAGTGTTATTAGCCCTGCACGGGTCACCTTTGTAAATGACAGAAACACCTCCTTCTTACATTAGAGGTGGAAGGTGCTCTGTAGTCCTAAACAGAAGTGAGCAGCCTATGGTGACAGTTCTACTCCTCCATAGATATAGTACAGTGAGTGAGGGCTGTTGTTCTAGGACAGGAAGTGTTACTGGCAAGATCACTAGTTAAAAACAAAGGAAGAAAGCCTGACAAAAGAAAATGAATGCAGGCACCACATATAAGGACTGTGAGATGCAATATAGGACATTTGTGTGCTTGGGTTTAGATACACTTTGTCAGATCACTCTTGAATCAGTGATATTTGGCTGGTTATTGCTATATCAATGTCATATAGCCGCCTGTCGTTTCCAGCGGCAGACCTTTAATGTCGAAGGGCCAGCACTGGTGGGAAAAAAAAAGATGAATCCCTTTTAGAGGACAAATGCATCCTTAACCAAAATGCAGGTTTGGGTTTGTTGGCAAGCTGGAACGCATGCTGGGCTCTTATATTGAATTGATAGAGATAAATCCAGTAGATTTCCCAGCACCAAACTGCTACAATCCAATGATGGGTGGCATTGTCTTGTAACTATGTGGTGCAGTATGCTCTTGCCTTCTGTGACCCTAGTTACCAAATTTAAGTCCACTAGCTACTATAATTTCAAATGCTCTCGGGGGGGGGGGGGGAGAAAGCCCCCTTTTCCCAAAAGAGGAAGTATTTCTCTAAGTTGGGGTGATCTGAAGATAAAAAATAGTTTGTAAATTGTAAGATAAAAAATGAATCTATATATAGATATATATATATTTACTAAATCCAATTGCACCTAAATAAAATAACCCCCACACACACAATGTATGAAAGGCCCATAACCCCACGACATGTGACATCACCTCTGTGCAATATTATTCCAATGATTATTTTGCTTTTATAAAGAAAAATAATTCCGAAGGGTGTTGTGCCATACATTTCTGCCTTATCTCTACTCCTTGGCTGCTCCGTCTTTGCCTGAAAGGTTGTAGTAGGATGTGTGAGGAATTGTCTGTGAGGTGTTCCTGCCCGCACGTCCACAGGCTGGTCCTGTGAGACTTTCTGTAAGCTGGAGAAAGAGGTTGAAGTAGTCATTAGTGTAATAGTGGTGTGATTGCTCATCAAGAGACCATCGCCAGGTTAGAGGAAGATGGCAGCTCTGTGGGGGCTTTACTAGAGAATGTTGATGTAAAGACTTGTATGATATTTTCTGTCTGTCATTGTCTGTAATACTCTGTATATATCTACAAAGCTTCTTTTCCTGTCACATACTCACAAAGGGGGAATCCATTTTGTGAGCTGAGCCATAAACTTAAATGGCTTCTGAAACATTGGGCAGGTAACTGGTGCATTCTAATAGCTGAATGAGTTTGGCCTTCCATTAATGTTGTGTTTGACTTCTGCGCCATAAGTCTTCCCGCTGCATAGAAGTTATTTGCATAGATGATATCTGCTTGTTTATCACGCTTTGTCCATTTTTTTCATATTCCCAAGAAAAAGATTGTCGCATATTGCACATTATATACCACAACGTGGCTGTCATATTAAAGCCCAACTCCAGTCTCGCTCTGGTTTTGGACAGAGAAGGGATAGAATTCCCTATTGAAGAAATTTCCTATCAGAGTAGGTATGATGATAAATCTCTTCATTGGAGACACAGACTGTATAAAGAGAGATTTTTCAGCAAATAGGTAAGAGATGGAACCTTTGTCTGGTTGATATTACTGTCTGTGACAACCACTCCTCTAATCTTTTAGGCCTCATTCATATGGCACCACCAACAATCAGCATAAATCTACAGCAGAGATCACAGATTTGTGTGATGAGCTGCAGCCAGGAAGCCTGTACAAATCATCGTCAGGCACCACATATCGAGTGGTTATATGGGGTTAGGACAGATGAGCAGCCTTGGCCCCTGCGCATGTAGCCTGTCAATGTGCGGTTACATGCAAACAACTGCAGGACCTGTCATAAATTTGTGCAGGCTTCCTGGATCACTCACACCTGAGATCTCCACCACTCCTTTATTCCAATTCTTGGAGATGTATGGCACTAATCAGCCACATGAATGAGGCCTTCTCCTACTGTCACAGAGAGATCTGACGGGAGGAGGAATTTTCCCAATCAAATCAGCAGTCTTTACTCTTCCCAAGTCTAATCAAAGTGGAAATAAAGCCGGCTGGAGGTGGGCTTTATTCATGAGTCTCAGTATTTGCTGTAAACAAGAAGTCATAACTGAATAAAATAATAAATGTAGATTAAAAATTGAATGCATCATGTCTCAATATAAAGTGTTATTAAACCCTCCAAAAGTTGGTCCCAAAGCCAGAGAGCAAGCCCCTCCCCTTCTACTAGCAATCTGGCATCGGGGAGTACAAAATATACAGTGGGAATTGAAAGTTTGGGCACCCCAGCTAAAAATTTGTATTAATGTGCATAAAGAAGCCAAGGAAAGATGGAAAAATCTCCAAAAGGCATCAAATTACAGATTAGACATTCTTATAATATGTCAACAAAAGTTAGATTTTATTTCCATCATTTACACTTTCAAAATAACAGAAAAAAAAAAAATGGCGTCTGCAAAAGTTTGGGCACCCTGCAGAATTTATAGCATGCACTGCCCCCTTTGCAAAGCTGAGACCTGCCAGTGTCATGGATTGTTCTCAATCATCGTCTGGGAAGCCCAGGTGATGTCAATCTCAAAGGTTTTAAATGCCCAGACTCATCTAACCTTGCCCCAACAATCAGCACCTTGGGTTCTTCTAAGCAGTTGTCTAGAAAACTGAAACTGAAAATAGTTGATGCTCACAAAGCTGGAGAAGGCTATAAGAAGATAGCAAAGCGTTTTCAGATGACAATATCCTCTGTTCGGAATGTAATTAAGAAATGGCAGTCATCAGGAACAGTGGAAGTTAAAGCAAGATCTGGAAGACCAAGAAAAATATCAGACAGAACAGCTCGCAGGATTGTGAGAAAAACAATTCAAAACCCACGTTTGACTGCACGATCCCTCCAGAAAGATCTGGCAGACACTGGAGTTGTGGTACACTATTCCACTATAAAGAGATACTTGTACAAATATGGTCTTCATGGAAGAGTCATCAGAAGAAAACCTCTTCTACATCCTCACCACAAAATCATCATTTGAACTTTGCAAATTAACATATAGACAAGCCTAATGCATTTTGGAAACACGTTCTGTGGACCGATGAGGTTAAAATTGAACTTTTTGGCCGGAATGAGCAAAGGTACGTTTGGAGAAGAAGGGGCACAGAATTTAATGAAAATAACCTCTGTCCAACTGTTGAGCATGGGGTTGGATCAATCATGCTTTGGGGTTGTGTTGCAGCCAGTGGCACAGGGAACATCTCACGAGTAGAAGGAAAAATGAATGCAATAAAATTTCAGCAAATTTTGGATGGTAACTTGATGCCATCTGTGAAAAAGCTGACGTTAAAGAGAGGATGGCTTCTACAAATGGGGATAATGATCCTAAACACACCACGGGTGATTACATCAAGAGGCGTAAACTGAAGGTTTTGCAATGGCCTTCACAATCTCCTGATCTCAACATAATTGAAAATCTATGGATAGACCTTAAAAGAGCAGTGCGTGACAGACAGCCCAGAAATCTCAAAGAACTTGAAGACTTTTGT